GGATCATGCTGACTATTCTATATCCCAAAGTCCAGCTAAAAAGTTGAGTCTTCTGGATCTTATTCAAAACTTTATACTTTCTACAATTTTGCAGAGGAATCTTATTTTTTTCACTTTTTTTCTTTTTCCTAGCATCATGTTTTAAACGTTTTCTGGCTCTTCATCTTGCACAAAATTAAACAGTTGAGTGTATTCTTTGAGTGGTTTTATTTGCCAGACTTAGAATATATTTCTAAAATATTTACTGAATACCCAGTCAGGTATAGTAGCTCTAAATAATGGTATTCTTTAAAGACCTTGAATGAATCACAGAAATACATAAACTTTCTATATTTTATACTAAAAATGTCCAAATAACATTTCAGGGCTCATAGACATGAATGAATAAGTAAGTTCCATCTACCTAAATGTACTGGCACTTACAAATTTTCACATATTATGTACTGGCATTCATTAGAATTTGGCAGAGATCTAGAATAAATTTTTCAATGTTATTTTAAAATATTCTTTTCCTACTCAACTCTAGTGCTAAAACAGTTTATATAATCACAATTTTGGCAAAGATAGATATGTATGAATGATACATTACAATTAGATTATAAGCCTAAATGAAACTGAAGGTTACCAAGTAATGCAAAGATATCTTCCTAGGGTAAAATTTATCTCAGTAGTAGCCAGTTTTTAAGTTAAAAATATTTTCATTTTAAAATTCTGCTTTATGATTTCTAGTTAACTGTAAAATTACATTTACAAAGAAGAAAAAGTAGAAAACAAAAACAGTGTCATAGAGCATGAAAGTAACATGTTTTTCAGTTATTCTACTTTGAAAATTTCTGCTACTCGTCTGACATGTTGGTAACATTTTAAAAATGAATGACTATCCCTGTGGGCCCAAGCGTTGCAGACCATCCAAACCATAGGCTCTGAGGATCAGACTTTAGCCACCTAGCAGACATAGCAAACTGTCCCTCATCTGATTATTCAGTTATGCTTGTTAGTAAAAAAGAAGATTAAAATGTTTATTGTATAAAGTAGAAGGATGAGTCAAAAAGTATCTGCACTCCAGTTATATTAAAAACACCCATCCTCATCCACAACTGATGACAACATTGAGTATGTACATGAAATGATTTTGTCAAACAGACGAGTGATGGTGAATTATGTGGCAAATAATCTGCAAATCAGCCATGTCTCTGCCTATGAAATAATCCACGATAGACTTGGGGTTCGAAAAGTTTGTGTGAGATGGGTACCTAAACAACTCACTAAAGAGCATAAATAGAAGCATTTGGACATCTGCAAACAAAATTTGGACCAATACTCAAAGGAAGGTAAAAACTGTTACTGGTGATGAGACAATCTGGAAACATGCTCAATTGCCGACCAAGAAAAAGTTCAAGTCAACCTTCAGCTAGAAAATTGATGCTTACAGTTTTCTACAATTCTCAAGGACCAGTATTGGAACACTATCAGGAAAAATGTTCAACAATCAACAGTGATCGTTACAATGAGATGCTCACTGAAGAGCTGAAACCTAAACTTCAGTTTAAATGCAGACGACTGTTGCATGATAGTGCACATACACACACATCTGCCTACACTGTTGACACTCTGCAAAAACTTCATTTTGAGGTGTTAAAGCATCCTCCCTATAGTCCTGATCTTGCTCCACTGGACTTTCACCTGTTTGGTCCCCTGAAAACAGCCCTTTGAGGATGAAGATACTCCTCTGACGAAGTGAAGACAGCAGTGCATTTGTGGCTTGCAGCTCAGCCTAAAACATTTTTAATAAGGGAATATGAAAGCTTGTTTACAGATGGACAAAGTGTATTGAAAGAAAGGAGATTAAAATAAATTCTACAGCCAGAGTGCAGATAATTTTTGACTCATCCTTATATAATTTCTTTGAGGGTAAAGACTGAATTTTCTGTTTTCTAAAGTACATGATGTAACAATACTGAAAAATATTTGTGACAATGAGGAGGAGGAATCGTACTAATATGATTAAAATTATACAATAAAGTAAATTTAAGATGGCCATATTTTCAAAGCCATACATAACAAAAAGATCAGGGGAGCTGGTGATTCTCTGGATTAGCGAGCACTTTAGTGGAGGCTGCTGGTCATACTCTGTGAATCAGGACACAGCCTCAGTTTGTGTTGGTAATAAAGCAAACCCTCATATTACCAGACAACTCATTTCAGTACTAAGCAGCTTCCTAATGAAAACAAAAACCCCATAAAATATGTCCCCTTTTTGCCAAGAAATCTATAATTCGTAACTCTCCTGGATCCAGTTGTGGGCACTGCATTGCTAAATTCTACACATGGCCCAAAGTCCTCATCATTCTGTAAACTGTTCTGAGGTCCAAAGATGTAGATCATGACACCAGTATTCTAAATACACTAAGTGAATAATAGTGCTGGTTTTAGCAGAAATTGTAGGCACCTTCTCCTTACCTTTTCTCCTCTTTCCAATGCTCTTCTAATCTACCCAAACCCTGAGATGAGCAAGAACATTCCATTTTATTCCACCCTCAAGAAGGAATGATCCAACATGTTCTATGGCTCCAAGAAAACGGGTCAGATTTGGTTCACCTGAGTATCATTTTTTTTTTTTTTAAGGTTTTTATTGTGGATTGAGTGAAAGTTTACAGGGCACAGGGCCTTGAACTCCTAGCCGGGTCTGCATGGTCTACATCCGTTTCCCCCTTATTTATTATTTTGAGTATCATTTTTTTAAAAAAAATTGTTGTTGTTGTTAGTGCCATCCATCTAATTCCGACTAATAGCAAATAATCATTCATTTTTTTTTAATTAAAAAA